CCGCGCGGCCGAGGTCAGTGACCCCGCCAAGGCCGCGCGGCCGAGGTCAGTGACATTACTGTAGTATGTATATAATACATATAATACAATATAAAGTATAATATTATAAATATATAATAAATTATATGTATAATATGTATTATTTAATGTTATATATAATATAAACTACAGTCACGTTATTTTCACGTGTTGTTTTTCTACTCTATCCTGTCACGTGACTTTAATTTTCTCTACATATACGACGACCTGTCTCATAATCGCTTTTCATTAATTACTCTCTCGATCTTACCGATTTGATTCGACTCGATCAACCAACCAACCAATCGGCTACGCGGAAAAGAGGCAACAGTAGATGCGATACATTCGGCTCCAAAACGCGCACTTCTCGGTCCAAATGTCCTTTTTTATATAGGATTAATTACTTAAGAATCGTTACACAACATTTTTGCCGTTTTTATTTTTCTTTTTCGTAAGATCACCGTTGTGGATATGAGACAAACCATTTTGTCGCGACTAATTCGTTGTCTATTATCGTAATTACCATTATCTTCTTTCTTTATTATCGTGATATCTCATCTTCGTAGAAGCTATAAGCCGAATTGGTTTCACAAAAACTAAATTCTCTCAGTGCGAAATTGGTCCCTACACCGCTAACATATCGCAGAATGTATAAACTTTAATTGTTGCTCCTATGTTACACACGTAGTAATTAAATTACATAAATGTCGCAAAACTAATATAAAAAAAAAAATAAATAAAAAAAAAAAATAAAAAAAAATAAAAAAATAAAAAACAATTTTCTCTCTCTATATGTGCGTGTTGAAAAGACTCGTTTGAATGACGTGTGGTGAAGAGTGACGCGCACGAAATCGTGAGTTATTTCGGCTCTTTCTTCTCTTACCGCCGTTATACGTTAACGTCAAGCTTATCCTCTTTTGCTGTCAGTGATTCGACATTCAATCGATGAATTAAAAACTCGACACGCCTTCAACGTAACGCTTGCATTCTTGAAATTGGACGTGGTATCGATTTACTATTTCGCAATCGCGCTTGGATAAATTGTAAGGAACAAACGTGATGATATGTCTCGTGAATCATTATTTGTGAAAGACGGCGCGAACAGTAGTTAAAAAACCCATTTAAATCGCAATCGTTTTAAATGATAAGTTTTTATATTGTTTTTTCAGATTTGTGCAATGCCGCCGGTTGTGCGCGCGGGAGCGCTGCTAGTGATGCAATTGATTGTGGTTCACGCGAGCGCAAAGTCTTGCATTTTAGCGTCGCCGTTGACGCTGCAATTGCTGTTAGAGTACGCGGAATGGCGATCCTGGGACCAAGTGGTTCTCTTCGACAACGTCACCCCGTTCAGTGAGTGTGTCCTTCCAGATATAAGTTATGTTTGAAAAAAAAAGCCAATGTTACAATGACAAATTTATTCTACTTTTTTAGAGATTGTTTTTAATGAGTAACAATAAAAAGTGAGCTTTCTAAAAAACAAAACTGACGGATATTTTACTTTAAGTAGGTTGAAAAGTAGGTTGAAAAGAACTTGAAGCGTATAAGATATAACGAATTGATTAATATAATTAATTGATTCAATGATCATCCGCGAAAATAATCGTAAAACGTTGCGTTTAACGTTCCGTTGAGACATTACCCAAAATGCGTTTTTATCTCTCATATTGTGTTATATTTATTATTTTCTGGTTTTATTGACAAACACTACTTCTGATTATCCTGTAATTGCGAACTGAGTTTATTTTAACAACTGTTTTAATTTGAGAAAAAGCATAGTCGAGACTTGAATAAACATTAATTCTATTATATAAGCTGCAAGGTTTTTTTTTAACGCGTTAACGTTCACATTTGATATATTTTTAGTTTTTCCGTATAAAACTTTTCAGTTTTTTTATCAATGGAATATTTTAGTAGCAAGCACGCGCGCTCTGCTAAATTAATTTTAATACATCTAGAAGTTTGTTTTGGGAGACACAGAGCAAGAATGCGATATAATTGATTACGACCAAATACAGATTGTGCTCTTAGTTACGCCCGGCCGGTGATTGAGTGCTTCGGTGAAAAAGGCATCAGTGTTTCTTTGCAATCGGCGACGAATCCGAATTTACCAGACGCTCTCACGATTCAAAAACACCGTATCGGAGCGATTGTGCTTGTGGACGATCTCAATGTGACATCATCTGATAACATTATTCAAATGGTATGATGTTAAAACATGAAATAAATGTGATATGCATGTATTCTAGAAGACAAAAAAAGACAGAGAAAGAAATAAGGAAAAAGTATAGAATATAAATCAAGAGTACAAAGTATAAAATATAAAATTCAGAATATAAAGTATTATTTCCTCTATTAAAAGCTTTGTAATAATTACAGTTTAATAAACACAGAGTACACAGCAATGCAAAATTTCGAATATTATGCGAATTTGTAAAAAATATACGTTTTGTCATTGATTCTTTTAATGACGAATTTTTACATTTACCAGTAATTAATAATTTCATTAAATAAGTTGTTTTAGTCATAAATTATTACTTCTAATTATTTGGTTTGCAAGAAAAAAATTGCATATTTTAAAATCTTTATTTCACACACATACATATTATTATATAAATTTTATTAAACATATTATTAAATATAGATATATACGTACATTTATATGTGTACAAAATTATTTGTTTCTGTACATTGTATTCTGTACATTTAAACTTAGAGATGGTGCGTTACTTTTTTTAAGACTTTATTTCCATATTCCCCAGAGCAATTATTCAATTTCGCTTATATTTCTCCAACGAGATATTCGTCGTCAAAAAGCCTGTATACGTGTCACGATATTTTAGATTCACATCTTTGCTTTGTCATACTACCGAAAAAAATGCCTACTGTTATCCACTTTCAATTTAATTACTTCAATGTTCATTAAGCTAATGCTTTGCGTTCGCATCTTTGTAGGCTTCCCAGAAATTTCTGTTCAACTATTACATATCCTGGCTCATGGTGACCACGAGAAACACCGACTCCACCATCGACACCGTTCTTCGGGATTTAAATATCGGTATCGACAGCGACGTAGTTGTTGCTACGTCGCCGTGGCAGAACGACGCTATCTCTTGGAAATACGCACAGAAATACCGGGAGAAGTAAATTTCACAAATTAAAATATAAAAGACATATAAAAAATACATACTTTATATAAACATATATCTATATTATGAAAAAAATACTGGTGTGTAAAATAACACTTGGATGCAAGCGTTCACCAGTAATTTTAACACTTAAGCTAAATATTTGACCATTTCTGCAAGGGATATAGAATAAGAATATATTATACTTTATTTTTTTAATTTTTTCATGTTACATTACTACAACACAATATTTCAATAGAAAAAAAATATACATGCACACACTACGTTCTAGTTAATTGTGCTTTCGTTAGAATATGTCGGTCTTTCCGGCAATACGGCGATCATTACCAGTTTACGGGACCGCCGGAAGGACGCAACGTCGAAAACGCGACGACTAATCTGAGCTACGCCGTAGTGGAGAACCGATCGGTATCCTTCTACCTGACGCACACGTACAAGATACGTCACGCCGACAACACGAGTCTCATCGTGCGATATCTCGGCTTCTGGAATCCGGGATCTCACACGCTGAAACCGCCGATCAACGTGAAGTTGAGAAACGATTTTAACGGTCTTCCCATCATTTTTGGCTTCTTGAACGGAACGAGCGACGGACTCGCGGACGTTACCGAGACAGAGGCGACCGATATAACACCACTTGTGGACTTTGCCACCATCGTCACCAGCAGTGTGAACGCCAGGTGTAAAGAAATCACAGCTCTAACTTTAAAAAAAAAATAATCGTTTTTTGTCATTTTTTCTCACGTGTTTTTCAAGCAATGGATTATTAAATTTTATACATGTAGAAACAAAACAAAATCCAAATAATAAAATTTACATTTGATCTGACATTAAAAGAGATATGTAAAAATTATATACAATATTTGATTAATTTTTGCAGAGTCGAATTGGTGCCGCACGAGAAACTCGGTACGTTAACTAACAAAGTATGGAGTCACCTTCTCGGTGACGTTGTAACGGGCACCGTTGACATCGGTTTGGGATATATAACGTCCAACGACGAGGAACGTTGGAAAGAAATGACTTTCAGCCATCCTCTGATACGATACATGTAAATAAAATTAAAAAAAAAAAAACTTCTCACTTAATTTTAGTTCAACCTTGTTTCTAATTTTGTTCGCGTATGTTCTTGCATTACATTTGAAATAAATAATTTACATCTCATGATTGCGCAGCAGTTTGCATCTTGTTTTTATAGATAAAGCATTTTATAAGCATTTAAACACAAATCACAGTGTGAAAAAAATCGCATCATTTGTTCAAGAATATTACAAGTGCAAGTTACGTCACCGAGTTAATTTTACATCACGCTAAACAGAATTTTAATAAAAATTGTAGAAAAAATATATAAAAAAACAATATTATAAAACGTATTTAAGTTGTCTTTTAGAAATATGAACTATTTGAAAATATAATATGTTCAAGATTAGATTATTTAAAAGTAAAATAAAATACTAAATATATAGACGTGTGAGATTTGTTTGTTTGCTACCACATAATCGCAATAATATTTATTGAAATTAAAAAGTTTGTTTTCGCTGTCCGCGCGATTTATCGAGTCAAATTTTGATACGCAGGAGAAATATTTATTATCATCCATTGGAAATCGGCACAATGAGAGACATATTTCTGCAACCGTTCGACAACCGATTGCTCGGTTGCGTCGCGGGAACTTACATCATTATGTTGATAGCTATGACAACAGTAATTTACGTAGCCAAACCAGTTCTAAACGACGAGGCTGGTAAACACGTCGGAGTTGGAGAGGCCGCCCTTTGGTGTCTGAGCATCATGTGCATGCAAGGTTTTCTTCTTTTCTCTTGATTAAATTATTCTACAACATTGAATCGAAGCTCAAAAGCTCGCAATTAAACGTTTCTTTTCAATTTTTATTAATTTCATTAAAAATTTGACGACTGGAATTTTTTCAGGATCACCCTGGGCGCCTCGCACTCCGTCCGGAAAGACTTTGCTGTTATTCAGCTTGATATTCTCCCTCGTGATGTACAATGCTTATGCCGGTTTCATCACATCTATACTGTCGGTGCAGGCCAGCGGAATCAAATCGGTCACCGATCTTCTTTTTAACAACTTCAAGCTAGGATACAGTATCGCCGACGATACTTGGTTAAGAGTGCGCGAAATTTTATTGAAATATCATATAATTTACGGCACAGTTGTATTGTGTGTTATATTATTTTGTCGCGTTAAAAATAGTAATATTTTATGTATTATCGTTAAGCGAGTTGTAATTAGTATTCAAAAAATTACATAGACATGAAAAATTTTAATTTTATGTTTATTGTTAATTTTATTTTTATAAGTTTGATTTATTATTTCGATTTGCCATTTGTCTGCCGTTTTTTTTTTTTCAGAACGCGAACGACAGTAGCCTCCGTCAGTTGTACATAAAGGCGTTCAACAACCGTGAATCTGGTTTGGAAACCACAACGGGCCTGATGAAGGCCGTGAACGGCCGTTACGGATTTTTCGCCAGCGCGACTCTCGCAAGACGAGCCCTCAGAACGACGTTTATACAGGAGCGATGCACCTTGAAGGAGCTGGCGCTTCCACAAACACTCACCGTCGTCGCTCTTCCGATGGCGAAGACCTGTCCTTACAGGAAGATCATAAATCTCAAGTATGTGTTCATGGGAGCCTAGTCCCAAAGCTGTCGGAGATTATCGACACTCGCGTCTACAATCACGTTTTTGATTTCGCCGTTCTTAGTATTCTGCGCTCGTCCGAGTACGGCGTGCTGAACAAGATTCAGGAGCGAATGTTGCCGACGATGCCGCGCTGCGCGTCGTCCGCCGCTTTCCACAGCGCGAGACTCGCCGACGTTTATTCCGCGTTCTTCCTCCTGGTGGCGGGCATGATCACCGCGATCTCCATTGGCATCGTCGAGAGGATATGGAACAAGAGGAGGCAGATGCGCGAGACGATAATACGCGGCATTTGTCATCACAATCTGCTACCGCACATTCACTTTCATCATCACCATCACGTCAACCCTCAGCTTCGTCATCCCGACGTCAGTGACGGGATGTCCTCGAGCACCGGATTGCGCGATCCCGCTTATCATGCTCGCCAGATGTGGCCGCTCGTTGGTCTGCGGGACCGCGACGCGGTCGTTACCCCGGAAAAATCGAGAGCGACGGGATTGGAGTCGCGTTTCCAGGTGAGACGACGATCCGCGGTATCCAAGAGAGTGTTCTGGCCCTCGTTCGCGGGCTTGTCCAAGAAGAAGACGAGAACAAACGAGAGAACCACGCCGAGCGCGGAGGCAAACCAAGTCTTCTCGTTTCGCGAGTGAACGCCGAATATTTTTCTCGAATTGTTTTTAAACTGGTCACTACTAATTTAATTGCACAAATATTCCGTATAGTTATAAGTGTCTTTTTGTTGCAGTAAAATGTCGAATAAATTTATTTATAAGAATTTAAAATCTGGCGTAGAATAAAGATTTCATTTTTTTTCTTACTTAAAAATCTCAAAAAAAAAAAAAATATATATATATATATATATATAACACGTGATACAAAATGTATAAATTATCTGTAATTACTGTATTCAGCGAGAATTTTTACGCGAGCATCGACGTTGGTCCTAGTGGACGTCTGTCGTCTGTGAATGTTATTTATGTTTCTGCAGTCTCGTAAACTGCCGATCTCGTTTCTGAAAAAATATTAATTATTAAATCTTTATTTTGTGTTTTGAAGACCATTCGAACAAGATTTCGTCCGAAAACAGTTGACGGGAACAAAAAAAAAAAACACTCGGAAATAATTGAGAAAAAAATACACAGTACTTGCAAAGAACGTCTTCCAGATTGAAAGCGTAATCTTCGTCTTCGCACCATTCTCTCCAGTGTTTGTACAACTGTAGATCTTGCATCTCGTCGAGGTACTCGTGGCACATAGTTTTCAAGCTAAGACAATAAAAATGACAGATGTGCATATCGACGTTATTTAATTAATTGATAACATTTTGCGCGTGTTACTTGTCACCCCACAATCCGTCAGCGGATGAGGCGATGAGCTTATCGCCCAGTGTCGGGTCAGAGATCAATCTCTTGCCGTCAATTTCTCGCAAACCGTAACTGAAATAGAATCATCAAACGTTGTGACAACATGAAAACTAGATAATTTGTGCAATCGGACGGAACGGAAATGAATATTTACTTTTGAAAAGAATGATCGCAGATAGTTCGCAGAAGAAGCGCGGCTTCGGTGTCGTTCAGCCAATCATTAGGTGCCATCATGTCGTGAACTTCCAGCAGAGTTTGATTAATCTGACAAAACAACATGCATCTTTTTTTTGTATTTAACACTTAAAAATATTATTTCGTTGCAAACAAATTCAATATGTCGTTGCCGCGAACCTTTTCGGCGACAGCCACGCACATGCTACATCTGACGCACGCGGACGATAGATCCACGTGTGTTCTGCCGCATCCATTTACGGCGCAATTATACGAGATCGCGCGTACAACTCCCACGCCCGACGATCTGCAGTCGCAGTAAGGATCGACGGTGACGTTCGAGTCGGTCAGAGGATCGTGATGAATCGTTTTGTTGCACTCGCTGCGGAGCGTTTGCACTCGATCGCCGAAGCTGCAACTGTTGGTTCCGCACAGGAGCAAAATCAGCAACACCGCTCTCGAGAACATTATCCCAAAGTTACCTCATGTTTTTGTTTCCTAAACAATAATAATACACATGCATGAGAAATGGAATTCATTCGAGAACCAACGAAACTAATTTATAAGGTCTATTAATTTTTTTAATCTTATCTCATCTTATCTCTCTATCTCAAATCTTTTATAAAAATCAACCTTTTGGTATTTATTCAACCTCGTCCCCATTTTCAGAAATAACTTTTTAGCATATGAATACATTTTGTGCAAAAAAATGTCGCATAAATTTATTATCTTTCTGAAGATGGAGATGGAACGGAATAATTATATAAGTTTATCTTAAATTTTCAATTTTAAATATTTTACAATTTTTTAAATTAACTTTTTGCAAGCTTACGTAAATTCGAAATTGATTTTTCTTCAGTTTGTACAAGTCGTTTTAGCATTTGTCATCGATATATATATATATATATATTTTTTCAAGAGAAAATAGATTGAGACGATAGACTTATTTTTTAAGTTTAATTATACGTTTTGCAGATTATAAAACGATTGAAAGGTTATTTCAGTATGTCGAGAATGTTACAAAAACAAGCGAACGAAGTTTTATAAGAAAAAAATACATATACATATATAATATAGCATACGTAATGTAAACTATAGATTTGTGTTAGTGGCAATGTAAATATATTGGAACGCAGCTTTTGACGCCACATAATGGCAAATGTTCAGCAGAACGCAATTGTTTTGGGAAATAAGTACATTTTTTTTGTAAATTTATCGTGAATTTCCAAAAAACCTTCTGTAAAAGAGTAGTTGCAAATAAGCCACGTAAACGATTCCGGCGAGCGTGACTAACAGCGGAAGCGAAGCCGTCATCGTTCAAAGATTTCTCGCATTCTATTGACTTAAATGCTACTGATAAACATATGCCGCTGTTTTTTTTAGCATAAATGCTTCTTTAACATAAATTGTTAACGCTTATTGTGCGCTTACAATGCGCACATAGCGCATTGTATACATAATGCAGAAAAATTTCCATCGCAATATTATTTCGCTGTTTCTTTGTAAAAATATAAAACGTAAAAAGAAAAAATTACATTTTTAAAAAGAAGATATTTGTTATTTTTTTTATTTGTTATTCTTCTCTCTAATAATATTTCTTTTAATTCGACAAAGTGTGTGAAACAAGACAAGCGGACACGTTTCAGATGTTACTTATTATATCTCTTGTTTTACATCCGAATCTTTCGAATAATCTTTTTATTTGATCGATTACAGCAGATTCCGTTTGTTTGCGTCAGTTCAACGTTTATATCAAATAATTTGTCTTGATGGGCAATGATTTATTAGCTTTATTTCGTCAAGTTTTTCTTCCATGCTGTTATCTCATTACCATACATATACATATATATACGCTCGTAAGCTGATCACACGCAGAACTAACATAAATTCTTCTGGCGTTTTCGATCGGTGGAAGTGATTCAACCGAATATCGAACGAAAATGTTATTATTTCTTCACGTCAAGTAGAACATACGTACATATGTACGTACATAGCGTCAAGAGTTGAAGCTGGTATATATGTATGTATGAATATTTCGGACGGAATAGAGACCAATTGCAATCGGGCAAATCTAAGCTGGATATTAATTTCCGACATGACGTTCGAAAAGCCAATTAAAAAAAAAACCAATCAACTGTACTTTGAACCATGGTGGAATTACCATGCTTTAAACATTGTTAAACAGCTTATGTACTTTAAACAGTTACATAATGGCATTTCAACGGAAACAGACAATTCTTTCTGTTGTGGTGTGATGTGACATCGCTTTGTTTATTAATTACGAAAAAGTTCCCCCGGATGCAACAAAAATAAATAAAAAAAAAGAACAATAATCAAAATAACAAAAACCATAATGAAAAGAAAATATCAAAAATAAGCGTATAAAGATAGTAACAAAATACTAATTGCGAAAAATAAAACAAAAAGATAATAATAAATGAAAAATAAAGAAGTGAAAATAAATGACATTTAATAAAAAGAGGACTTATATGAAAACTCTCCGCAGAGCGACTTGTCAATGAGCGCGCTATGTCCAAACGTGGACACGGTTCTTATGTCCACGTTTCCTAACCTAACCCTAACCTAACCCTAACTTAACCCTAACCTGTCAAGATGTGAACAGAATAAATGCGCACGCTGTGAACTTAGCGCGGAATAGAACCGTGTTCACGTTTGGACGTAACGCATGCACTGACAAGTCGCTCGTGGACATGGCTACGTAGTTGTCAATGCGCACCACCCATAGACATAGCGCTGTCTTACAGGGCGGAAAAGCTATTAGTTTTTCACAGAGAGTGGGTTTTTCATATGGCTTTTGGCCGCTCTCATTCTTCTCTCTGCTGTTCGTTAGATAGAAGTGGGAGCAGCAGAGTGACGAGGAGTGCGGAGAGTGCATCGTGTGCACGTGTACTTTTGTGCGTCTGGGAGAAGTCATCACAAATCTCTGCGTCTCGAAAAGGTTAGAAATTTCATTTAGCGACGACGATGCTGGCACATCGGTTTCTGGGTGGTAGAAAGCAGCTGTGGCACGCCGCGTGCAACTGCGCGCCGGTTCGGTACGTGCAGAACGCGAGCGAGCCAAGCCAGGCGTTGGATACAATCAACATCGAGATGAGGATGCCGGCGCCAATCGCGCAACTACCGCAACGACAGCCGTTTGCCAAGAACCTGTTTCTCGGAATATTGGACAATGAGTTCATGTACTTCTCCGAGCCGCAGTCTAAGGAGAGGCACACGCAGTTCTTCGAGTGGCTGCAGCCTATCGAGAAATACATGGCCGAGTGTATGGAGGATCCGCAGAGCGTACGTAGGAACGATGTTCTGTCCCATCTGCGAGATCTGGGCGTCTTCCGGGCGAACGTGAGCGAAAAGCACCTGGGTTTGAGTCTCAATCAAACGGAACTGACCAAGCTGGTTGAGGTGCTCAGTTGTCTACCCTGGTTGGGTTCTTACATGGTGAAGAATCACATCGCGCCCATTCACATTATCAACCTGCTTGCCACAGAGGAGCAGAAGGCCAAGTACATGCCAAGAATAATCACCGGAGAACTGGTGCCCGTTCTGTGTTACACAGAGTCCGAGAGCGGACTAAATCTGCACACAAACATGACGTCGGTTTTGGACTCAGATTGCAACACGTTCTACGTGATAAACGGCGAGAAGTCCTATGTGTCCAACGGACAGGACGCTAATCTGTACGTTGTCTTCGCCACCTACGGCAATCCGAACTCGATCAGCAGTCATCATAATCCGTTGTCTGTGTTTCTGGTGGAGCGCGACTCCGGAATCGTCTGCAAGGATGTGAAGAATTTAGTAGGACTCAGAGGTAATCCTGTGTGCACGGTTACTTTCAAAGACGTCAAAATTCCCAAGGAAAATTTACTGGGCAAGATAAGAGCCGGGACGGATGTGTTGGTGAACTTTCTCTCTCCTGGAAGCAGGAACATCGCCCCGCAGGCAGTTGGTTTGTTAAGAACTTTCATGAGGATACTTACGAGGAATATATTGCAGAGGAAGCATCTGGATAAAAATTGTCACGAGTTCGAGGGTGTTCAAGAAATAATAGGCAAAATTGCAATTGCGTTGTACGCTATGGAGAGTACTTTGTACTTCACTACCGGCATGATGGACTTATACGAGAATCAAGATTGCTCACTCGAGAAAGCCATGACGGAGGTCTTTTGCGCGACCGAGTGCGTCGCGCGCGTCTACGATGGGTTACAGATCATCGGAGCGCAGAGCTACTTGAGGGAAAATCCTTACATACAGATTCTCGAGGATGCGTTGTCGTATACGCTGTTCGACGGTTGCAACATGGACTCGAACACGTACATAGCTCTGCTCGGTCTCCAGCACACGGGCAAACACATGCGTGATCACATATTCAAGTTACGAAATCCTTACACCTTTCCTCTGTACACGTTGTTCGCCGGCACTCGGGAGCCACGATTGAGGCTCCGTATAATGGATCATTTGCATCCGTCTTTGATAAGCGGCGCCGAAATTGCGGAAAAATGTCTCGCCAGGCTGCAGACCGCTTCGGTGGTAATGTTGCAGCGCCACGCCGTCCAAGCGCCCGAACGGCAAATGGAGCTGCGCAGACTGAGCAAAATCGCAACGAGAACGTTCGCGTTGTTAGCCGTCCTCTCGCGCTGTTCCAGGTCGTACTGCATCGGTCTGAGAAACAACGAGAGCGACAGGTTCGTAGCAGGCGGTTTCTCGCTCCAAACACTGGACCTGGTGCGAAATCTGTCGGACGAACTCGACAAGGAGGATCTGAACAACGGCGACGAACTCAACAGAAACATCGCCGAGGTCATGTTCAACAAAAAGGACTATTTCGCCGAACATCCGTTGAGCAGAACTTACTGAATTTTTTCGAACGCAAGTGCTCGTACTGCCAAAGACAGTTTACTGCGAGAAGCGTGTGTTTGAATCGTTCCTGAAGCGATCTGAATACATTGTTCTGAACCCAATAGATGTGAAAAGATATTATGTTATCTGTAAATTATTATCGAACTACATTTTATCTCGTAGCTTTAAAACACCGATAAGAATGTGTGCGTAAAGCTAAACATATAAGTCGTTCCGCAGGGAAAGCAAAGGAATATACGATGAAGTTTCCACGGAGAAGTATCTGTATTTATGTACGCCACAGAGTAGCAATTGTACAGTTGTACCTTAGAGACTAGAGATCGAGTTCTGAAAAGTAAAATAAATGCTTTTAATCACTCTTCTATCAGGCTCCTAGAAGTTCTTCTCGCCGAATCACATTAATCTCATTAATGTAAGATCGAATTGCATGCTCGTTTTTTTTTTTTTTTTTTTTTTTTTTTTTTTTTTTTTTTTTTTTTATGTTTTTTTTTTTTTTTTTTTTTTTTTTGTTGTTTTTTGCTAAGTGTTGACCATCGATCGCTATTTAGGATTTTTGATGAATATACGAAGAGGTGGACGGTATTCTCCTACAAGACGTAACATGACTAGTCGTCCTAGACGCGTAAATATGAAATTCTATATAGGATCACTGGAAGAACCGTAGTAGCTTCACTCGTAATAATTTCTTTTTCCTTTTTTATTTTTTTTTTTTTTTTTTGCTACCTCACGACTATAGTCTCTCTGCTTGAACAACCACATGCTCCTCCCGATACGAGTCGGTCGCGGACCAGCAGCTTCTGACGCAGGTGTATATTAAAACGGTCCCGAACTCGATTTGAAAACTCCGCTCGGTACGCGGATTCAGTATCAGCTTCGGTATGAGCGTCGGTAGTACTTGCAGCTCGAAGGTCATCTCGTCCCCGCAATGCCGACACTTGCCGATGCAACCGCTCAGTGGATACAGCAGTAACGGCGCGGAATTGTCTCTTGAATATCTAAACGTCAAATAAAAAGAATTAATAATAATAACAACATCACGCGTATAATTTATCCGCGTGTAATACATAACGTGATGAGAATACACGTTAGAGGTTTTACCGCAGCAGCTGTCCGGGATTTCTCTGTATTCTGCAAACGAAGTTATGAAACATCTCGTCGCCGTGCTTGGGAATACCCTTCTCGTACTTTTCCACATCCGTCTCGATGGTTTTGGAATTGCCGGACTCGGTGTACTTCGTCGACGTGTTGTCCGGATTGCTGTGCTGATATTCGACCAGCAGATCCCGAACGTGTTGGGACACGTCCGAGCTGTAATCCTCCTCGTCGACCGCGAGGAATATCTCGACGAACGAGTAGTTCGTCTCCGCGTTTGTGATTTGCAGCGGCAGCGGCGTCATCTCTTGAAGCAAACTGATCAGATCGCATTGCGGCCGCGTCGGCGTGTCGATGCACACAACCTCGTTCTCGTCACCGTCGATCTCCGCGGACGCCTGAGGAGAATCCAAACGACCCACGGCGCCTCCGCTCACCGGAGAATCCACACTGTTCGGACTGAAATATTCGACGAGGAGCGAGAAGTGTAATTGGTTTATTATGCGCTTTATCTTTTTCTTTAAATAAAATATTTGTAACTATAGAAAAAAATATATATATATATTTAAACTCAGACCTATTCGCATTCGGATCGTCCACACGTAGCACGGACAATTCGTCTCGTATCTCCTGATCTATTTCTTCGTGCAGAGAAAAGTGAAATTGCAAAGGATCGTTCCTCAACATGTTGTTTCCGTTTTGTTCCGACGCGTTGTCGTTCACGTTATCCCCCCAGTCGTCCTCGCCCGACAACCAGGACGTCGTGGACGGCACGTTGACGGATTCCGGCGCGCTCGTCCTCGCTTCGTCCTCCAGATGCTGTATTCTCAGACACGTCCAGCTCTCATTTTGATTCCAGCAATTCGGATTGATACACGCGAATATGTACAGCGTCCGGTGATACTTGGAATTATCTAACGGCGCGTAAAGTTGGAGCGCCAGAAGTTGATGCAGGCTGCAGAGTCTGCATTGTGGCGGCGACAACGTGCTCTTCCCGTAACAGTTCTATAACCAGACACGATGCACTATATATGTCTATCATTACATTACAAAAAAGTCATCAGATAGTTTGCACTTGTATCGCAAACGATGATCCATTGATGAACACGTACGTAGAAATTAAAATCATATAAGAGAATTTTCATTTTTTATGAAATTTGACTACGTGCGCGACATGATCGTGTGAATTCTCATTTTCTCTCTCTCTCTCTCTTTCTCTCTCTCTTATCTGATATAAATTAAAATTCTAAGGAAAGCGCTCTTTATATGTAAATAAATTGATTTCGCTAATATAAAATAAACTAGAACGTTCTCCGCGCGTCGCACATCTCTCTCTCGCTTTATTGGATTATCGCCGCATTCGGTGCGCTGAATTGTTTGTCGACGCAATGCAGATCGATTCAATTACAAACTCTCCGGAAGCCGGAGGCGAGGAAAGAAAACGATGGCTCCCGCGTAAATGAGTTGTCCCTTTTTGTTTTTTTTTTTTTGTTTTTTTGTATTCTCTACTTACCGGATGCCCGCCGATCTTATTTGTCGTGAAGTTGAGCAGCGACCGATGTTTCTCGGTCACGTATTCGTCCTCGTATCCGAGATACACCTTCGCGCGACTGTCGCAAGCCATTTAAGCCATTCGATCGCGCATCCACATTGGGGAAGATTTCGGACGCGGCGAGACGAACACCTGTACTATCTCTCTCTCTGGTCTGGCTTTTAGTTACGACCTGGACAGCTGACACGCATCAGTAAAGCTTGACGCGTGCGCCTTTACTGACTCTCGCGCTTCCCTTATCGATTTTTTTGGTCTAGCCAACGTTAGCCGGACAATCTCTCTCTGCGCGGATGTGTTCTCGCGGTTTCTCCCTGATGGGATCGTCGGAACGTCGTTCTTTTTCTCGCGTTCGACGTTCGATCAGATATCGAAATAAACACAACACGTGCACGTGTCGAGAATGCCGTTTTTGGACAAAAAAGAACTTGATCTTAGCTGCACTTTCAGTAGTTAAAGCACGAAACGGGTATTTGAATAACAAAGGAAGAAAAAGGAAAGAAGCGAGGTGCAGAAAGTGCAGCTAAAAAACGAACAGATCTGCGTTATATTGTAGTTTGAATATTCATTCAATTTTTAAAGAACTTTTGAAATTTGTTTGTTTGTTTGTTTTTTTTTTTTTTTTTTTTTTTTAATAAGACGCAGTTAAAACATAGAAAGTAAAGAAAAAGACAATTGAATTACGTAGACCCTAAGTTAAACAATGTAAAAAACATTTTTTATTTCATGTACTTCGTGTAAAATGGAAGGAGCCTACCAACATATCTGCTTATCGCTGAACATCATTTTCAATATTTTTTGACTGATCAGTCTCATGGTGTGAGTTGGTACAACAGACGTGTACAATACGCACAGTATATTGTCACCGTGTTTCACCGCGTGACATTTGTGATACTCGGAGCACAGATACGTTTCCTTAGCTCCGGTGAATTTCCAGACGCTCGGATTCTTCTCGTCGTTGATCTCCTCGTTGTGATCCATCGACAACGCGAACGTCTCGACCGCTTGGTGATAAAACGTTCGCAGTATGTCCAATCTGTGCGACACCGTAACGCGATTTTTCGCGCATTGCGGATTTCTCCCGAGCACGAACTTGTCCACCTTGTAATTTGCCAACAGAAATCTAGAATATTCACAAAATACAAAATAACGACGACTGCGAACGGGGAGCAGCTGTAAGGCTGTTGCTTTCAATTACCCGAGTGTCTCGCTATCCAAAGAAACTGAAGAAGGCAAGTTTCGCGCGTAACATTGTTCAGCAATGGCGCACAACACGTCTGTGTTGCCCTTCCAACATTGCACAGCGAGCCTCTCGATTTCCATCAACTCCGGACTCGGTCCGCACAAAGCCAGCACTTCTACATGATTGATCAGAGTCACAGATACCAGTCTGAAAGCTACCTAACAAGTAGAAGATATATACCGTAACTTCTTCATAAAATTAAATTAAAATATAAAATTTAATTTAAATTTTAAATATAAATTTCAATTTAAATGTTACAGAGATCGCTTTCTTTTCGTGATCGCTTACATTTGGACTCTTACAGGGTAAGAACACCGGAATGTCCCGTATGGTGCAAACGCTCTCCGAAGTGATTGCTATCGTTAGCAACTTTCTCTCCACAGAATCCAACGACCACCAGCCGTCCGTAGCAGCCGCCACGCAACCGTGCACCAGAACGCAACCGTACATCGAGTCCAGACATTCCATGAATCCCTCTAAGCAAGTCTTTGAATGCATATCTGTGTTGAGTGGCGTGTAATAATAGTAATTTCATATATGCAATACATTGCGCGCAACTTCAAGATACCTGAAGCAAGTGGTTCTCAGAAGACATTACGCATTCGGTCATGTTGATCATGTCGGTCTTAGTGGAGACTTTGTCCCCTATGTCCAGGCAATCCATCAGTCTGTCTATAATGGAATTGCAGAAACGCATGTCTTTTTTTAGCCTTTCCACATTCTTCGAGTTCTTGATCTCGTCGATGCCGGTGAAGAGAACCATCGCGCCGAAGGTGGTGTCCAGAAACTTGTCCAGCACGTGCTTGGTCACTCCGCTCGCGATCGCTATCAGTATGATGCTCTGCTCGAATTCCTTCCACGCTACAGTTGTGTCCGGCAGATCGGTGTTCAGAAGAGTGATGTCGTGCGACTTGAGAAACATGTGAACTCCGTTGAGAGACGCGATCTTCGAAAATGTCATCTGCAAAAACATGTCAAATATAAAAACACACATTCCTCTTTGCTTGATTTCATACAGTTGGTTATTTATTTACACGTATAATTTATTTTATAAAAATACATTGAAATATATATAAATATATATTCAGATTTAAAAAAAATAGAGCAGTCGCGTGTTACGCACCGCGTCGCTGTCACCTTTCTGGCGGGAAAACAAAGGAATCCCTCCGGAAGAAGTCAAGCACATTACGTGCACTGACATTCTGTCGCTGTTCAAACTCTCAGGTCAGATATTCCAGCTGACAAATTGAATATCGTCGAGAGCGCCTTTGAACACACTCCGAGGTCGTGAGAACTTTCTCACAAGATGATCTCTATTACCTATTCAGGTGCTAATTAAAATATATAATCAAGTAAGAAGGAATTACATACTTGGCATCAAACGGATTTTCATGCGAGCGCACACGAGCGCGCACTTAACTTGTGTTTCCGACAGTTTGACAGCTGTCATATTTTGTTTTGTTTTTTTTTTTTCAATTTGAAAATATTCAATTCCACACAAGCGCGGACGGAAGAAAGAGAGCTTTTCGGTCAATGGTTACGGGGACTCTCAGTGGGAAGAACTTTTTTACCCCCCCCCCCCCGACAACAATCACGACGCACAAACATACATCTAGTTTGGAGCAAGAGGAACAACAGGTGCAGCAGCGCTTCCTTTGTTCGAACTTGCGTGTAGAGGAGGGAGAAACATCGCACCCGCGAAACGCGAGGTTTCCGCTCTATCCGTTCGGTTTTCGAAGCCGGCGCCTTCGAAGAACTTTTGGCGTCTGGGTTGGAGACGCGAACGCGACCAACGGGGCTTCTGTGCACTGTGAACCCCGGTTTTGACTCCGCGCCTATCGATTGCCGAATGTGCATCTTCTTCCGTGTAAATCTCATCGCGTAGCGTTTCTTGTCTCTCCGAACGTGTGGTTTTACGATTGTCGCGAACACAACGATCGGCGAAACGAGGAGGAAATCCGTCGGGAGCACAAGCGGGCACGGGTGAGTGGTCGCAAATATCTTTTTCGAATCCGTTGGCGCGTAAAGTCGTTGTTTATACGCGCACAACTCGTTACAGTGTATTTTACTGATCAATTTTTCGTTATTTCGACGCCGATCCCTAGCGTCGGTTTTGTTGCCGATCTCTCTGTTGGCGTTGATTTTTAGTGCAGTGCGAGAAAGAATGGCGGGCTTCGCCGCTCGCATCGCGTTTTATTCAGAGAGACAGAGACAAAAATACTGTGTACCGCCATAACGTTTATGGCGTACAACGGTTTTGCCCGTACTCGACCGTATTTTTGTTTCAGTCCGCACATGCAACAGAGAAATTTGTCCTAGATAGATTTGCGTACTCGGAAAACACTCGTTCACGCAGATCAAAAACACTTGTCAGAAAGGTGGTATTGTCGCTTGAGAAAACGAGAAGATCCTTTTGTGTGGTGTACGTTTCACAAAGAATTGTACTTGGTAGAACACAGGGTATAGACAAGTTGATTACTTTGTCAGTGGAAAGGTTTCTAGATCGTTCTGTTGCCTGTGTCAAACAATCAACAAGAGAAAAGTAAAAAAATTAAAAAAAAGAGATCGCCTCGCTCTCTCGGCAATTGTCAAGAATTGAATTTTAATACTCTTTTCTTTTTTTTTTTTTTCAGGAGGAGCAGAATGACGCCAGAAGGGTACACGCGCGTTTACGTGGGAGGGTTGAATGAGAGCATCAAAAAGGAGGATCTTCAGATGGAATTTGAGAAGTACGGGAAGCTGAACAAGGTTTGGGTGGCGTTCAATCCGCCTGGTTTCGCGTTCATCGAATTCTTCAACCTGAACGAGGCGGAACTGGCGTGCTGCAACATGAACGGGATGGAGATTATGGGTGCAAAGTTGAGGGTGGAAATTTCACGTGGTAGAGGTCGCGGTGGCGGCAGGGCTGGCGGCGCGGGTGGTGGTGGTGGTTTTCGAGGAAATCGCGGTGTTAGCGGTAGGGAGTATCGCTTGACGCGGTACGGCGCCACCGTGGGTTATAAAAGCAATACTTATCCAGATTACGGAGGCGGCTATTACGCAGGCAGGGGTGGCGCAAGTAGGGGCAGAGGTTACGGAGAGGACTATATGTACAATCGCAACGGCGGGTATGTCGCGCGTGACGGATATACGCAGGACGTCTACGGTGCTAGTAGTGGAGACACCGGCACCAACTACTACGGGAGAAACACGAGCACAGGGAGGTATCGAAGCCGCTCTCCCGCTGGCCGTGGAAGGTATTAACGATATACCCATATCACATCTCTAAATTGATTTTAAATCTCTCGCGAAACACTGCTACATATATTAGCGGGGTTGCGTTAGCTTGATACGTGCAATAATATATGCGAAAAAAAATAGGGAAGTTATATGTGATATAACGTACGGATGAAAAAAAAAAATCAGAGTGCGGGTTATAGTTCTGTTAAAGGCCTTTCTTCTCGATTCTTCCTAAGGTAATAAATACGACGGATATTTAAATTTCACTTTTTAAAACACTTATTGTCTCAAAGGCTTTCGGTAACTTTTCAACACACCGACGTCTCCTTGTGGGATTTAAGAATATATTACACTACGAATATATTAACTACGGAGAGACAGAAAAAAAAAAAATAATAATCTGATTGCATCAGAAACACAAATGGCAACACAATTAAACATCTTTGAAAAGGGTTTTATCTAGCAAACCTAAAACACGTATATTAATTGGTTCAGAGATGTTGTTTGTCAGGACGCATTTCCGAGCACTTTACCGTGTATCACATACCGTCGCTTCAGGCCTGTTACGAACTATACTACGAAAGAATTTGTATAAAAAAAACAAAAAAAAAAAGGTTTTTGCGAGTGCATGAGAGTGCTTCGTTGAATATGAGAAAATTCGTTTAATTGCATGCACTAAAAATATCAAGCTACTGTCGGCTCTCAGTCGATGGGAATCAGAAACCGGGCGTGAATAATGTGACCATCCTGTTTTTTGCACTTCCATGTTCACAGTCATCGTCATCTACGTGAATGCACATAAAAGAACTTCGCTGCGTCTTGCCAAACCGTACTGCGGGCCGATCAGCCACCCGCCTCGACGACTTCATTTCTGTCCAATCTACACAGTGACCTGTATATAAGACAAGAACAAACAACGCTGTGCAATGCTTACCCTGCATTGTACCACCCCGTGTAACAACATGCGGTCGCTGCCGGGGGAATACTTTTTATTGATAGACAAAACAAAAAAAAAAAAAAA